TACCTCCGTCTCGAACAATGTTATTTGGCGAAATTATCAAGCAACAAGCTGTCGTAACAATCGCCAAATATTCCTGGCAAAATAGTATCCCTTGTGATATTGAATATGAGAATTTTGTGTTCCACTGGACCAGTTCACATTCTGCAGAAAATTCGTGCAGTTGCAACATGCTTCAGAAATGGTGCAACAACAGTTCGACCAATTCGCTATATAAATGGAAGAAATATCGTCAAAGTTGTTAACAGTTGTCTATTATGGTGCAGGATAAAATCTAAATCCTGAAATAATGGGAATTTGAAAGCTTCATTTCCGCGTAGCGAACTTTTATACAGCAAGAACAAAAACAGGGACAATCCTGCCAACAATTTGATCGTTAAGCGAAAGATCTGGAAAGATAAATCTTTTCAGGATCACTGGGTAAGATGCACGTGAGGATTCGTTGGGAATTTCGAATTTCCTCTAAAACCGCATTCTCATAGAATTCTATGATTGATGATACGGCATTACGTGCGGAATAAAGTATTTGTTATTGATTGAAATCTGCATTCATCCAATAGAAACTTGTTTCATCATTAGATGTAATATGAACAAAAACTCAGGAATTTGCATAACACTGTGGCCATATTCCATTGGAGAATAGACATTTTGGAAACGATGCAAATGAGCAGCAATCTTGTATACTTCCCGTCTGCTGTACGTATATTCTATATTGTGTGGAGCTAAAACATATGCATCATCAATCTTTATAGGGTTCCCTTATTGGGATAAATAAGAATACCAGAATTCACTGGTCTGATGCTTAGCCTGTGAAGTCGAAATCTATGAAGTAGAAGCTTACCATCTTGATAATTACAAAGTTTGAAATCCAATGTATCGAGTTGAAATATTGATGCGCACGAACGGAAATTCCTATAATGATCGTATAACATAGTGCATACCCAGGAAGGATATATTTATTCATTTATTTATCTATTTATTACCCATACAGGCTATTGCAGCTTAATTACATGGATACAATACTGAAGATATGATGAACAAGAACAAACAACTTCAAATACTATTATCATTAGTTGATAAATAAAAAATGAAAAATGATCGATGATCAATACCAGAATTGTAGAGTCTAAACTAAATAAGAAACTTACGGATAGATGAGTCTCAGTTAGATGTATTCAATAAATGCTCCAATATGCATTTACGGTAAAGCACTGGTGGTAAAGTCCAGTCCAACTTAATCAGCGTGTTGATATTATTAGCTAATAATAATGATAATAATACGAGTGGTGCTCTCATGGAACCTAATAATGTGACATTGAACATAAGTGTGAAACGAGTACGACGTGGTGGTACATTGAGAGGAATCATGTTAAGAATTTCTGGAGAATCCACTTTGTTGGTTAGTATTTTGTACAGAAACATCATAGAGTTCAAACTTCTTCTTTGTTCCAAGGGGAGAGGAGGTAGGTGTTGGAATTTTCTTCGAACTTCTGGAGGTTATTGGTATTTTATTTCACTCTGAGCATTATGGCTATTTCATAGTTGAAATTACGCCAGTCGGGCAACCAGCCACTTCCGTCTGGGAATTTCGGTTTTGGAGCGTTTCTCTCCATCTTTTTCACTCAGATGGCGTTGCTCTCATATTGTCTAGGGAGGACGCCTATGAGGGAATATAATGCCGACTTGATTTTTGTTTGGCTCGGCTACGCTTAGTCGGCGGTCTTAGGACTGCTGGCTGGAGGCTGCCCTGCACTGATGACAGTCGAAGAGCTCGAAGCAGGTCTGTAGGTGTCTGGCGTGGCCTGGCTAAATCCAAAACAATAGGCATTCAGGAAAGAATCACTTGTATCTGTATCCGTTTATACGATTCGATGCATAGATTTCGGGAGGATGTAATTCAATGTTCTGCGTGGCATCAGCCAGGAAAGTAGTTGTTTTTCTCCCGGAATTTACCATTGTTGTTCATTTTATGAACTTTGGGTGGAAATGACGTTGAGCTTTTTGTATTTATTCTGTATCTGTTTATCAAGTATGTACGGCAACATTTTCGGAATAATTGTCATACATGGTGTTTATTGCAACGATACCAAAAATGCATGCCATTTTTATTTTATAACAATTTTTTTTTCAGTTATGAAAATAGGACAATAGTATTCCCAGTTCATATCATTAGTATTTGTCCATATTGATTACTTATGTAACACGTTTTCAGACATAAAATTTTATTCGGAAAATTAGATTTGTCTCCTTCTGGGTGTATCAGACCCAACGCGTTCTTTGCTGTAAAAATTAATCACGCGTCTCCTGCAGGGTTAATGGAAGTGCTTTCGACTGTGCTTTCGATGGCATGCAAGCATTCTTGTACTCAAAACCGAAGGCGGGTTATGCATAGCCATCCTTAGGTTTACTTTAGTTCGTTGATTTAATGGCGTTGATTCGTGATAAATAGGGTTATTACCGTGAAATGGAAGCCCTCGAGAGAAGAATAATAATGAATTTTGTGATAGATTTGTCCCAAAGTTCCAAACACTGAACAGTTCAGTTTCTTTTTGTTGCTCCTTTCAGACTGTGGCTTATTTAGAGGGGGGAAACAATAGTCTACTCAGGGGTATTACCGTGAGTGCTTAAAATTATATCTATATTAATGATTGTCTTTGCCACTTTACAGTTTCGAATTTTTCATTGCATGCAATTTATATTTTCAAAAAATTTTCGTAATATTTATGAGTTTTGAGCTGGTTAAAAGAAACCATGAGAACAGTAACATTCAATTTCCATCTAATTATGCATAACTGACACATGAAGAACTAAAAAACCACCATTTCTACACTAACATCGATAATATCGATGAGAATACAGTATTAGAAGTCATAGGAAAGAGTTGACCTTCGCTTTCATTGGTTAATATCGGCGGCAATGATACACTTGCCTAATATTATGACTTACGGTGTGGCGTAATGGTTGAAGTTTTCTTCATGAGAAGATGTCCACATCATAAAAATACGATTATTTTTCATGCATTGAAATCTCATCATGATCTCAGATAAGGCGTCGTATATTTATTTTGTCAGTGTAGTAAACATTCCTTCAGAAGGGAGCGCCACCTACTATCTTCTTATTTGGAATGTAGTATATAATTCAATTTGATTGATTGATTGATTGTCTTTATTACCCCAAGAAACATTTCTGTTTATGATAGGGATACATAAATACATATAAAAAAATAATAATAAAGGGTTAACTATAATGAATTCCACTCAGTGGAAACGAATTAATATTGTGTCATAAGATTGAAGTTATATTTCATTCCTAAGTAATCAAATCATGCCACATATTTTTCTTTCAAATTGTCCTGAGCAAGTATTTTTTAAGATTGATTTTGAACCTTCTTGCATCATGTATATTTTTTAACTCATTCGGTAATGAATTTAAAGAACATTTAAATAATAATAACGATAACATTAACGATTAACGATGGTAAATATTGAAACTGAAAGTGCAATTTGTGTTTGTTGCATGCTGCACTATAGCAGATGCAACATCTTGAAGAACGTCGTTTTTTATTTGAATTTGATTGGTTAGTGTTTGCATCTATTATTTCCGGGGGGAGATCTTGGAACTTTCCTGAAAAGCTACTTCACACCTCAACAGCTTCTCATGATCTACAAAGCGCAGATACGGCCTGTTCTAGAATACTGTTCCCACATATGGGGTTCAGCACCAAAACATACGCTGATGCTCTTAGAGTCCATCCAGAGAAGAGCCATTCGCCTGGTGGGTGACGCCGCACTCACTCACTCTTTGGCATCATTGGAACACCGTAGAAAGGTCGGCGACCTTTCACTTTTCTATCGATACTTCCACAGGAAATGTTCTTCGGAAATCTCTGCTATCATCCCTCCACTAGCAATACCATTCAGACGAACTAGACAAGCCCAGTCAGCACATCCTTTCGTTGTCAACCTCGAAAGATGTCGAACAGCACTTTATCAAAATTTCTTCATCCATAGAACGGCTAGGCTCTGGAATTCATTGCCTAAGGAAGTATATCCAACAACATATAATCTCCAGAAGTTCAAAAAAAACTTCCAATACCTACCTCCTGTCCCTATCCTCCCTAGGAACGCACAATGTTCTTTGAACATTATAGGGATTTCCTTTCGTGCGCTCCAAGCGATAAAAAAATGTTTAATTGGAATGGGCGTGTACACCTTAGTAGAACTTTCAACTCAAACCATGTTTATAATGATCCTTTTATACATAAATAATGATTGACGACATAACTCGATCAAAAAATTAACTGGAATGTTTTATTTTTGGACATAAATAATAGTACCTTCTGAAAACGGACCCTCTTATATGACGTAGAAACCTCATCTCGCCATAGTTAAAAGAAAATACCAAACGCCCGACGGAGACTGAGGCAACTGATATATTAATTCTTTCAACTGTGATCTCGCGCTAATTCACTCTGTCAGAAATTATGTATCATTCATCTCTGTCTGGAATAGTCTTGTATCAGTATTAGGGTTTTGACGTGACATCATCGCCTCGTTTCCAGATGTCCGAAAAATCAGGGATATCAATAATTTTTTATAAAACCTAGGGAGCTCACAGCAAGAAACGGTTTGCGGTGGTGAGCTAGTTTGGGTGAGTTCTATCGAATTATGGAATGATTTTTTTTTGTGATAGGTAAAAGCCTATTACGGACCCGGAAAAATGACGCTTGAAATGCTTATTTGTTGACTGCCACTACTGTCAGTTTATAGCGACTGTTGCTTATGGGTACGTTCTGGTGCCAACAGTTATCACCACATGTCTCCTGGTATTCCCATCGAAATCGTAAGGAAAAGTAAAAATAAGGCGCAAAAGTAAAATCGTTCGAAAAAGTACAACTTACAAAACGAAAAATCATGCGAAAGAATTACTGTTTCGCACGTTCGTAGAAAAGAATAATATCGTAGAGACATTAATTACCCAATGAACAATGAAAACTCAGACTAGTCAACTAATACAATCACTTTATTGCCCAAAAAAGACAAATTTCATTGAAACAATAACCCAGTAAAAACTTGTATATATAAAAAGGCGTCAACCACAATACAACCCCGACGTTTCATGGCCCTCCATTTTTTGATGCCTCAGGACCAATATCGACAGCATTCCTCCTCAAGAACGAATAATCCTTAGCATTTGGTAGTCCATGGACTACACAAGCACTCAGAGCTGATCTACTGACATTCATTGAGGCCGCATCATACCACTCGTTCGAGTCAGTGTCGTAATATTCAACATAGTTGATTGTCGTGGAACCTGGAAAATCATAAAGCAACCAATTTTATTTGATACAATATAAGGTGACAACAACAACAATAAAAATCTAAAAAATCTAAAAATGCTAAATCGATCAAGTCATAAAAATAGCCACAGGGACTAATCAGTAGATGGCAAGGTATCAATTTTATCCATTTCGTAATGAAATCATGTGTTTTTTTAATTAAATTTTAAATTTTGAAATATGTCTGCAATTTTTTATATTATGTGGTAATTTATTAAATTCAGCTAGAGCAGCGTGAGTAAATTTTTTTTGGCCAATTATAGAAGTAGCAGAATCAAGATGAAATAAGTTTAATTGTCTCGTGTGATGACCATGAATTTCTGAGTTTCTTATCAAAACAAAATTGGATTTCAGATTATTGTTTATTATATTATATGAAACTTTAAGAGAATCTATTTTATATAATTCATCCAATGAACATTTTTCTGTTATCGCATACAGATCATTTGTTGGGATATCAAATGAGAGGCGATACAATACTTTCAGTGCTTTCTTATAAAGTGCAGATATTTTCCTGAAATAATTTTTTGAACAAGATCCCCAAACGTTTATCATATAGGTAATACGACTGGGTATATGAGAATGAAGTACTATGTTTATGACTTTTTTGTCAAGTTTAGGACATCTTCGCAAAGCTCCAATGATTGGAGATATTTTTTGTATCAGAACCTCTATATGCTTGTCCCATTTCAATTTTTCATCAATCCACAAACCAAGATACTTTATTTGTGTAGTTCTTTTCAATACTTTATTTTTTTGATGGAATATTATATATTCAGTTATATTGGTGTTAATTGTTAAAATGTTTGAATAAAGCCATTTTTCAATTTTTTTCAGAAACTTCACAAGTCTTTATTAGCTCCTATTGCAGAAGGAATTATGAATGTGAGTGGCTATAGGTAGAGTATAGGTACCGTACTTTCAGATTACAATTCACCTGAAGAATATTCATCCCTTTGGTTTCGCTGCATTTTTTGTGCATTGTACAGCAGCACAATGCTTGAATAAATGAATTATCGTATGGCAAAATAATCGTGAAAAACAGATCAAATTCTATGTAAACAAATAAGAAAAGTGAGGTTGTTGTACCTTCATTGACAACTCAAAAGAAGATAAGGTGATACTGGTTTATAACTAACAATACCCTTAGAAGCCTTATCTCAAATATATGCCCTAAGGCCAACGTAACAATATTAAGATTCTTGATTCATGTTACTTGATGAGTATTGAAATGAAAAAAACATTGCGAGGAGCATGGCTTGCGTTTATTGGCAAAGTAAACTAGATTCTAGAATATGTTTCAATATTTTCTCGGAAGCCGGAATATACCTAGTGATGAAAATGGAACTACTAAAACTAGCAGTATACTTCTGAATAATGTCTCACTTCAGTTTAGAGTAAATGGCGTTTCTTTATCGAACAAACTCACTACATGTAAACATTATTGACCATATTTTTGACGGGATATCAGTTTTGGATCACTCACCTGATACGAATCTGTCATTGAACCCGCCAATCACAAAAATATAATCATCCAGAATCACACTAGCAAAATTGCTTCTCGGCGTCAGCATTTCAGCAATATCTGACCAAGCTGAAGATACGTCAGGAGTATACTTTTCGCCAGTTGCTAGTCTGGTATAACCGTTGAAACCACCAATAGCATACAGGGTGTTCCCGTAGGCTATTAGAGAAACTCCAGAACGAGCAGAGTTCATTTGGGGTATGTAAGACCACTGTTTAGTGACTGTGTCATAAGCTTCAGCTGAGTTCATGACCTCTTGGCCATTGAAACCTATAGAAAATAATGGATTGTACAACTAAAACTGTTATATTGGACCATAGTCAGCTGTTTGGTGGAATGAAGCCTCATTTCATCTTGAATTACTAAGGATATTCATATACATCAGTAAGGATAGATTATTGTATATTATCCCAACTCAAAAATCAATTCAGTTGTTATCACGAAATATATTGGTTTATGATTGTTTTTCTTGAACTGATGAGTGTGACATTAAATTTCTACAAGTGAGAAGTTCAATATTCAAAATTAAGAAATGCATCAAAATCATCAGGAGCTACCTATCCAATAATGATGAACATTTCACAGAACAGAAATACTTCCATCATCTGAAGTCACTCAGAGAGCTCAGAAGTGAATATGAATCTTTGGAAGAAGTTCATATTGCTTAAAGTGGAATTACATTTTCAAAGGAGCATTCCTTCCTTCCTTTGAGTGAATATGAAATTTTCAATAGTTGAATCCACTAACCCCCAACAACATATATTTTGTCTTGTACAGCTGCAGCGCTAGCGTCAGATCTCTGTTTTTGCATCGGAGGCAGAATTTCCCATTGGTTCTTCTCAGGGTCATATCTTTCAACGGAGTTCATCCTAGTGCGCCCATTATAACCTCCAAAAGCAAATATTTTGCCATCGTGTACCACTACGCTCACATAACATCTAGGATAGTACATGCATGATCTTTCACTCCATTTGTGGTCAAGGGGATTGAAGCATCTTACTGTGTTGAAGTATTCATTTCCATCGAAACCACCTACGAATCAAAAAATCAGCTCATTATCAAATCCTGATATAGTATGAGATCTCAAGCAGCATAGCGTATTTCATTCTACACTCTAATGAAATTCGAATCACTGAATTTGTCATACATTCTTTATCTAGCATTGGAAATCATTTGGACTATGAACACATTATCTGTCATCAAATTTTTGGAATAATGCTTGTTTGGATTGTAATTCGTTGTAGCAAACAAACCTATCATATAGATGATTTCATTGAGATTACACAGTCCATGGTAAGCTCTTGGTGATGAGTCTGTGTCTACTGAAAATAACCATCTGTCTGCTCTGCTGTCATAGGTTTCCAAGAAATTCGTAGGGCTACCTGAATGGAAAGATATTTCGAAATGAATGTCTCATCTGCATGTATTTTATGTATACAGAATGTTTCCAGATGTGAGGCATCTACCAACTCCATCACAACAACGCGATACGCCACACTACAGTATCAAAAACACGAGCTGAATAATACGACTTGATTCTGGAGCACTAGATTCGTATTTAAAATTATTGAAATTTTTTTTCAATACCTTTGATATTTTGGAACTTTCATGGAAGCATTTTTTTTCAGTGAGTTTCTTATCCGATTGAATGAATGCCATACCTTTGGAAACACCCTATATTTATCATCGTAAGATCAATTATTCACCTTCGATTGATCTTAAAAAAAATTGTGTAGTTTTGGTATTCATACAGAGTATATACCCATGAGTACTAACCAATGTAGGGCAAATGAATGTTGGTATACCGATGGCTCCAAAACTTTGGAAAGCGTCGGAGCCGGAATATACGGGAAAAACCCAGTAGTGAAACGCTCATTCAGTATTGGTAAACTAGCTACGATATTCCAGGCAGATACGCCATTGAAATATGTACAAGGGAGCTGGAAAATCGACACCACACACAAAAAACAATAAAAATATTCTCAGGTAGTCAAGCAGCACTGAAAGCACTTGAATCCAACTGCTTTAAATCCAGTATGGAGCTGCACATAAACCTTAAACCTTGCAAACTGGCACAACGCAATAACGTTAACCTAGTCTGGATAGCAGGTCACTCGGGACTAGAAAGAACGAAATAGCGGACGTCCTAGCAAAAAGGGGGCTGAAACATCGTTCACTGGGCCAGAGCCGGTAATCGCTATAGCACATAGCACGACCAAGAATGTTATAACATCCTGGGCCGACAACGAAAGACTCGAAAATTGACGTAGTCAACCGGGCCTAGCTCATTCCAAAGCAGTCATGGTTTGTACAAGGTACAAACAGGACTCTGACAAACAACTATAGAGCTCAGTAGAGCACATCTCAGAGTTATGGTAGGTTTGCTCACTGGCCACTTCAAACACCACATGCAAAAAATCGGACTTGCACTAGATGTAGAGTGCCGTCTATGCATGGAATAGAATGAGTTCGGAATGAAACTAACCTATGTAGGACTAATGAATGTTGGTATACCGATGGCTCTAAAACTTTGGAAGGCGTCGGAGCCAGAATATACGGGATGAACCCAGTAGTGAAACGCTCATTCAGAATGGATAAACTAGCTAAGATATTCCAGGCAGAGGTATACGCCATTGAAATGTGTGCAAGAGAGCTGGAAAATCGACACCACACACGAAAAACAATAAAAGATATTCTCAGATAGTCAAGCAGCACTGGAAGTACTTGAATCCAACTGCTTTGAATCCAGAGCAGTATGGAACTGCAGAGAAACCTTAAACCGACTGGCACAACGCAATAACGTTAACCTAGTCTGGATAGCTATTCTGGATAGATATTTTTCAATAAACTACTACTACTACTACTACTACTACAAAATCGGACTTGCACAAGATGCAGAGTGCCGTCTATGCATGGAGGAGGATGAAACAGCTAAACACATTTTATGTACATGCCCAGCAGCGACCAGAATCAGATTTTCAACAGTTGGCAATACAACAGTAGGGCCAGAAAACCTGATAAATTGTTCTCCCAACGTACTCCTTAATTTCGCCAAGAGATTGGATATACTGGGAGAAATATAACCACAGGGTGAGCCCACTCACGTTTAAACCTAACCTAATCTACCCATGAGTAATCGCAATCTGTGGAGAACCAGAAATGGCATGATCGAAAATATTTAGTGTCGTTCTAGTAAAAGTACAAAGGTATCAACAAGATAGATGATGAGTCGAATATTGCTTAATGTCAGTAAAGAGTATAACGAACTGGGTGGGAGGGATGTGATGTTCTGTAGAGTATTTCAGTTAGAATGTTTTTTTGAGAAGAGGAGAATCCACAATTTTTTGTCTTGCCGAGGAGCCCCAGCTTTTCTTGTTACGCTACTGTGTCGGTGCTAATACGCTTTGGATTTTTATCTATGCAAATATGTCGTGCTATTGGTATATTTATATATTGCAAGGTCTTGTTATATTATATACGCAAAAATATAAGGTTAACGTATTATCGATGAGTGTGTTCCACTGAAGGCTTCTAATGTTTTAACGCACATTTTGCTCTTCCACTCAGCACCAAATTCCTTGTACATAGATAGTCAAAAGCTCTTGGATTAGAAAACGTCATTATTCACGTCACTGATGAAGGCCGTGAGAGATCCACAACGAATTATATCAAAGTTGGCCAAGGTCTACGTGGTTGTTTATGTGTGAAGACGTCAAGTGTGAGGAAGAAAGGAGTCTTGGGTATTTTGTGTGTGAAGGTGTGAATTGCAGCGAAGACTTGGTCGATTACTTTTGATCTTGCCATGCGATGATTTCAAATTAAAAGCAACCGATGGTATTGAATAAACAACAAGAACAACATTCAATACTTACATATTCAATTTCGAGTATTTACCTGCACTCCAACCACCTACTGCAAACAAAACACCATAAGGTATTCTTGGCCTGAAGAGATAATTATTGATGTAATCCACATCGTCTTCTTGGCTCAAGCTGCCAACAACTGTTTGAACATCTTGAAGATACTCTTTACATTGACTGTTTTCTTCTAGGAGATGCCACTTGGATATTTCTTGGACGGAATCATAGGTTAGAGTACCTAATCTACAATGCATTTCATTATAATCTCACTTCTGCCATAAGTGATTAATGACGATATATTATCGAATTGAAATATTGAAATATGTAGGGCTGTAACAACACACCGATGCTCTATCTGAGAGCATTATTCAATTCAGCCCTATGAATTTCGATTCGATACCCAGAAAAATGATCAGATTGAGGTAACAATTTGATTTTCAGCTAAAGAATTGTAAAATAGATGATCCGGCTCGAAGGACCATGTTGCAGACTTGTATAATAATGTACTATTGTAGAATCATTTCAATCAACGATAATAAAATATGTACCTTCCATGAGAGACCTACCTTACACATTTTATCAAGGTGAAAAGATGAGTCCTCCTTCTCACTGGTGAGTAGTTGATCCACATCTTGATGGCCTCGAATACAGTTTCCTCCGTTTTGACATTCAGTTCATCATCTCGTAGTATGTCTTCAAGATGTTGAGCAGACAGATTATAAATTTCATAACTTTCTTTGAGGATCCGTGAAAAATTATGCTTGATATACAGTTTTCCTCGCTCGATCAGATCCTTGCAGAAATATTGCCCAGCAAATTTCAAGATGTCCAGACAATTCGATGGGGCCAATTCTTCCATCAGAAAATTGCAGCATAACTGCACCACGTCCAGAATTTGGTATTGATCCGCACATTTCAACAACTCTTTGACATTAGTTTTATTGATGATGCAATTCCCGGTGTAGGCATAATCTGAGAAATTATGGTAAATTTTCGCACAAAGGATACTCGGGACTTTGTTTGCTCAAATTATGAAGTTTTATTGTAAGTAAAATATGAATGTGAATATGACTGGCAAGTTATAGGTACTCTTTTTTCAAATATTGAATCGACTATACAGTGTGTAGACATATGATGGAATAAAATCCGTAACTCCATAACAAGAATATATATTTCAAAAAATTCGACAGATCGATTTTTATTTCTGAGAATCTATTTTTCACATAAACATCTTCAACCATCTGTCAATTTCCTACCCTACAGATCAACTCCAAGTTTGAATTGTACAAGGGGATATGTATTCCAGAAGTCAATTTACTGTACAAGTAAGTATAATACAATAGTACCTTCCATTAACAAATGTTTAGACGGGAATTCCAAGAAATTTTGAATCTCTCAACTGCCCCTCGCAGGTATTTGAAAAAACATAGACCAATGTATAGAGATTTGAAACACCTCTTTAACAATGTGTAACCACTTGTACAATTTGAAAAATATGAAGGGGTTGCTCTGTAGGGTAGGAGGTTGACAGGTGGTTAAACATTTTTATGTAAAAAATGGATATTCAAAAATAAAAATCGAATTGTCCGATAATGTTTTGAAATATATTTTTGTTATGAAGATACCGAATTTATTCCATCTTAGGTTTCCACACTGTTGTACACACAATTCATATAAATTGCACAGCTGTATGATCTCATTTCTCCATAAACAGCAATTTGAGCCGTCTATGGATTCATTCAAGTTTGGTAAGAAAATTGTTCGTATTACCTATTCTCTGGTATCAAAAAAGCAATTATGCTATTGAGCAACCAGAAGTTATCACCTAGAATTTGAGTCAACATCGATATTCCATAGCAATAAGAAGATATTTACCTAAAAATACTTGAAATATATCGCCAGATATGTTCATCTTAGCTTCAGTAGCTTCTGTTGGGTCTCTGTTGATGGAATTAGTGAAAAGGGCCCTGAAGTAAGGACTAACTGCAGCCAAAATAGCCCGATGTATCTTGAATTCGCTACCATCATCACATTTCACTACGCCATCACAAAGTTGAGATTTCTTACGTAGTTCTAACCATACAGGCGGAAAGTCAAAAGTACTATTCTATGAAATCATTTGTTTTAGGAATATTCTAATGGATCGTGCGTATTATTTGTTACCTGATAATGAGAGCACACACATTTTTTGCACACACTGCCACTTTTCTTCCGCTTCTTAACGATTTTGTGATTGTTCGCAATAATATCTTCGTTTTTATGTACAGATGGTACTTTTCGTAGACGCATAGTGAATTCCATTAGGATTATCGTACTAAGAACTGTTCGAGAGTGGTTCAACGCCTGTTAAATATCACAATTTTTCAGTGACAGTTCGATCCATTTTCTGTCATTACCACTGTTATTCATCAGCTACCAATAATATACAAGACGTTGAAAATTAATGAGATAGATACTTACAGTGTAATTTTTCGTCGAGGTTCCCTCTAGACGTCACAGATAGGGCTCTGATGAATTCTTCGAATTCTATCGATCCATCCTGGAAAATAATTTCAATTACGTTTCCTTCATTATAACATACAGGGTATCATTTGGTCATTTGGGTAAGGTGTCCAAACTCAATTACCGACTTGATTTGGATTATTTCACCTACCAGGTCACCCGAACAAATTCAATGGCAGCAGTTGAGCTACCAATCTTTCATTATTCTTGAAGAGAAAAATCTCTACGAGGCCACTAGATGTTCAGCAATCTGCAGAAATTTTGAAAGAGACCTTGCAGTTTTAGTAGTTTGAGATAAATCATTAGAGCAACAGTTCTTATCACACTAAATGGGCCACTCCAAAAGTAGACTCTTTTCCGACGAGCTGTATTTTTTTAACTAAGTAACCGATTTTCATGCGGCTTTCGATATTAGACGTGATCTTTTATCGACTTCAAATAAAGCTAGAACCCTGTGAAAATGTCAGTAAAACAAAACTTACATAAGGTGTGAAGTAGAAATATTACAATATGGTCTACATTTTGCGTTACTGCCGGAAAAATCAGTCATATCATGATATATAAGAAGAACACCAATTCCTACCTTATTCCCCTCGGTTCTCACGATGTTCTCTGAACATTACAGGATATCCCTTTTCGTGGAAACCAGAACATAAAAAAAATATTGGGACTTCATCTCGGGACATTTTCGTGACATATTAATATGGATATTATATTCCAACAAGATGAAGCACCATTTCATCTTGTTTTTCAATTAGAGTTGAATTTTTGTAATTGTCTCGGATTATTAGTCTAATCTAAATAATGGATATCGAGAAGGCCGTTTCTGAATAGCATGAATCGAATGGGCCATGGTTTTAGTAATCGTTTTTGTTTTTCTTGTACTGGAATGAGATTTTCTCCTATTTTCCTTTTTCCCTGTTCTGAGTTCTGAAGGGAGTTTTTAAGAATTAAGGAGAAGTATATTTTTCTCCGATTGGCAGCAAATATTAATTTTGCTGACACATATCAATCAGCAAAGTATTACTTTTCCTGCCTAGGCAGCAAAGTGGTTACTTTACTGATTGATATGTATCAGCAAAATTAATAATCCATAAATCTCCGGCAACAAATTCAACTCTATATTTTTTGCCACCTCCCTTATTTCTGGAGGTGTGAGTACTTCTAGGTCGCTATCACTGTCCATTATATAATAATTTAAATATACCGATATTTTTTCGCACAACTGTCAGAAATTTCATGAATTGTCAAACTATAATTATTATGGACATTTCCATAGCAACCAACCATTCCAACAACTGCGATTTCTATCAAATTTTATTTTGATTGAACACTACAAGAAAAATAAAGAGATATATATCATTATAAACAATCGGAGAAAAAATTATATGTTCAACTCGGCAGCAAAGTAGATTGACTGCCTTAGCTGGATTCTTAGCCTCACTACGCTATGAATTCAGCCTCGGCAGCTTTGCTGCCTAGTTAAACAAATAACTATTCTCGCTCCAGAGAATTTCAAGATCCTTACACAACGAACACGTGAGATAAAGGGGTGTTTCCATTAGAAATGAGACACCCTGTATATGAGTCTGAGCATTCGTCAGCTAGATAACCTGATACAAACTTACACTACACTGTTTTACCACTAACCAAACCGATTTTTTAACGCCTCGACACGTGTTTCGCTAACTATGTTAGCATCTTCAGGAGAAGATTAAAACTCAGTTTGGTTAGTGGTAAAACAGTGTAGTGTATTATCGTGCCAAAGGTTCCAGTCTTCGATATATGATACAAACTTGTTGCAAATGTATGTACCAACTCACGATACCGACATCATTCTCATATTGCCCTTCTCCGTAACGAAAGCACTTCAAGTAAGCACTCTGGTTTCCTTTTCCTTCAGCGTTGTTCCGCTGTTCCTTTCTTTCCCTTGAGTTCGTCTGAAATCCATCTGAACGAACGTTCTGAACACGAGGAGAATGGGAGCCTGCGAGATTCCCACTTAAACTATTCATGTCGGCTCTTTTCAAATCTTCTCGATGATATACTCGCTAGCAAAGATTTTTCCGCATTACTATACAGGGTGAGTCATGAGGAACTGTACATACTCCTACCACGAATAGGGGCTCTTGAGGGGAATGTCTAATGACCATTAGAAAGGGTCTTCTCCTCTTCTTCACCAATATATAGGGTGAATCTTGAGATTTGGCATAAACATCTCCTGGACATAACTTATCAACAGGTTCTTCGATTCGTCTGGTTTTTTCATGGAATATTCCTCTACTAAACCCTAATCTACTGGCATTTCCAGAATCGGAAAAATCTAGGACAGTTTTTAAATAATTTGGATAATTTAGTTAAAAGCAAAAAGTTCATCCTGTGTATCGTTTTTGTAAACTATGACAGGGAATTTTCACTTTTGAGTATTTCCCTCAGGGGCCTATCTTCGTGGTAAGAGTATGTACAGTTCCTCATGACTCATCCTGTATAGTTAAAGTCAATCGTTTCCCAGCTACCTTCATTCAATTCTCTCTTTCATAGATTATTACTTTCCCTCGGATTTTGATGAAGAACACAACATGCATAATATATATGGTGAAACCTTAGCCGTGGCACTTGATATCTCCAAAGCATTCGATCGAGTCTGGCACCACGGACTCCTCGCCAAGCTTCCATCTTATGGCTTGCCTCCCCAGCTATGTTCTCTGCTAGCTAGTTTCCTCTCATACAGGTCTCGCCATGTAATGGTCGACGGAGTTTCATCTGACTATCTTATCATAAATGCTGGTGTTCCGCAAGGATCAATTCTAGCACCAACACTATCTTTACTCCATATCAACAATTTGTTGGAAGCAACTTTGTGTCCAGTACACAGCTTCGCAGATGATGGTATCCTCCATACCACCTTCTCTTCCAGGGCTCCAATACCAGCCAGGCAAATCAGAAACGAACGAGGAAGAAATGTTGACAAGATAAATATGGACTTGGCAACAATTCTCGAATGGGGATCCAATAACTCTCTAGGAAAGCCGATCTCAGTGTGCCCAACATAAGCTTGTCAGGAGTAACCATACCTTTGAAGACATCCATTTTGATGCTTGGTATTACTATCAGCAATAACCTGTCTTGGGAAAATCTCGTGAGATCAATTGGTAAAAGTGCCTACCAAAAACTTGGTCTACTGTTTCGGGCCAGGAGTTATTTTACTTCCAGTCAGCTGCTTATGATCTATAAGGCACAGATCCGACCTGTCCCGCAATACTGTTCCCATATTTGGAGTGCAGCACCCAAACATACCCTGAAACTGTTGGATTCTGCCCAAAAAAGGGCAATTCGTCTCGTGGGTGATGCCTCGCTCACAAACTCACTCACTTCTCTGGAACATCGTAGAAAAGTTGGCGATCTGGCTCTATCTTATAGATTTTTTCATGGACGATGCTCTTCTGAAATATCAACAATTGTTCCTCCCTTGGCAGTCCCCGCGAGATTGACTCGTCGAGTTGAGGCTTCGCACCCCTTCGTGGACACCTTCAAACAACAAACACTCGTTCATCCAACAAACAGCGAAGCTCTGAAACACATTGCCAAGGGAGGTATTCCCCGAGGCATAAAACCTCCAGAAATTTGAGAAGAACACCAATTCCTACCTTATTTCCCTTGGTTCTCACGATGTTCTGTGAACATTACAGGATATTCCTTTTCGTGGGAACCAGAAGATAACAAAAAAAAATTGCTCGAACTAACTTGTTTGTCGAACAAAACGTCCTACCAGTCTATGGGCTCCTTCCTTAACGATGATCCAAACGTGAAAAAACTATCGCCGTAATTTGCTACTAACAAATTATCAGTATGATACCAAATGATTCGCTAGAATTGATCATTGATATTGGTTGAAACAACAAACACGTCACATTTTGACATGTGAAAAAAATAATCCTTTATTTACTTTGGTCTGATACATCGCCTAACATAACTTGAAGAATGTCTTTTTCCAGATTTTAGGAGCGAATCTATTCATTCACTTGAATCGATCTAGTAAGCATGTATGCATACTTAATGTATTCGGACCAAAAAACGCAATACAATATCATAATGTATAATCTGTTCAATGAAAATATGTTTGGCTGAGGCGAACTCTCTTTGTAACGACATCATTTTGTGGCTGTGGATCCCACTATCTTGTTCAAAATCTCCTCCAACTTTTCCAGTATAATAACATTATACTTCCACAAATACCGGCATTTGCGTTCATTGTTGTTCCACCTCCTGTATTATTCCACTTTTATGGCGATAGATCGATAAGTGAGCTTCTAGCACAAATTTCACGCATATATGGGATTTGACCTCAAACGAAGGCTAAAGGTATTAAATTCGATTGAATGATTGATATGGTCAACAAAAAGTCTCTTGAACATGAAGCCGTCCAATTATCTTCGTCTACAGGATACTATAAATATTTTTGTGGAAGGGCTGATGAATTAAATCAACTTTCAATATGCAGTAATATCAAAATCCTCAAACTCAAGTACTAATGACCTGAACTACCTAAACGAAGAACACATATCTACCACTTTTGAACAATGTTAACAAAACCATCGCCCAACAATAATATTGTTGGACGATGACAAAGCCATCAAGGTATATTTTCTAGCTAGTGGATTTCACCAAGAATAGTCATTTATTGTGTTACTTCCTACCCTTTCTCTTAATAGCCAGAAGACTAGTTAACTCTGAAAACTTTTAAGCTGGTTCTGTAGCTATCTGAGGAATGACAGTACCAGAAAATATAAACCTATACGCCATATTTTTTTCTCAAACCTCATTTCGAAGAATTTCATTACAAAACTATTGATGAAAGAATCATTTCCTTACACCAGTATTTCAGTACATCAGTGTTGGATATGA